AAATCTGTTTGTATGAGCTGATTTATCTGTCTGGATGACGTAGTTATGTCGTGTGGTGTGGTGTGGTGTGATGTCGTGTCATTTCTTGTCTTATCTTGTTTTGTCTTGTGATTATTCTTCATTTTGTTTTGTGAGTACTGATACTCTTAGGAGTGACAGCAATCATCGTATATCTGTGATTTGTACTCTTCCATCATCTGCTCTCTCTCTCTCTCTGCTCACTTACTTTGCATCTTCAAGTAATTCAGTGTTGGATATATTTCACAGTGGATTTCTTTCGTGGTGGAGTTTGATGAGTTTGAATTGAGAACTGTGGTGTAGTGTGAATAATCCGTATCCAGGTTGTTGTGAGGTGGGTATCAGTTTGAGTGAGAATATGTTGTAGGGTGTGTGTGAAATTCTGATGATTTCGCATAAAACAGCTTGAATATCGTTGTTGGATTTCGACAAAGTACCGTAAAGTAGGTCTGAACGATACGCCACATGATCTGTGATCAGTGTCTGCCATTACGCACAACAAACGTGAAACGCAGGATTCTGCTTGAAAGGAAACTATGGGCCGACATCCTAAATTTCTGGATGTACCGTCGAATGAACTGGGAACTTCACATATCGTGAGAGAGAATGAGTGGCCAATCCGAGGGGATGTAAAGGGTAATAAGTGCAAATATAACTGACATTTCCATCTCGAGTAGAACACAAATAAGGAGTTAGAGCAAGAATTAAGGTAACCTTAAAAAAGACAATAGAAAATGAATACGGGTAAAACTGCATACCACTACTGATCGATTCACATCAGTAGTTTTCTACAACCCACATCAAACAGTAGTGCTTGCTAGACAGATTGAAGTTGTCTAAACCCCGAATGACAGTTTCGTTCTTTCAAGGTCGAGTTGACATGCGGTGTTCCGGGTTTGATTTAGTCGAGAAATCTGAATTATTTCCAAACGACCAATTTCTGGCTGCCTACTTCAGCAAACTGGTAACACCCTAAATCAAATTCTCAGTTTATAAATTGACCACCAATTTTTCAATTTATACAGTTCAAGGAGGTAAACATTTCACCAGATTTGCCTCTGAAAATCAAAATATATAGATCACAATGCTTAATCTACTTGGTAGCAGTCATAGTGATCAAGCAAGGAAGCATGAATGCGTAGAACCGGTTGATGTGATTGGGGTATACAAATACTCATCCCAGTCAATCAGTGACAAATAAATTTGCTAGTCTGTGCTTGCTTTATAATCTCGTCTAGGTAACTATTTTGCCGGTTTCTTAGCCGTCGCAGGCCAGGATGAAGAGGGTAGCTTTTCCGTGGACCTGTCAACCCCACACCAAGAAACCTACCAAACCGCTAGATAAACTTCAACTCACATAAAATAAATTAAAATTACGAAAAATTCGAATGCCAATTATCTTATTCTTTGCTGGAATCTGAAAGGCGAAATGACACAGCGGGCTGGTGAAAGTGCGCTTTCGGGAAGCTATTCAGCCAGTCAGCTGATGTGTCTTCTCTCTCTCTCTCGATGGAAGCCAAAAAAATTGGGGACGTCGAATGTCCGTAAAATGTACGAAACAAGCTGGGAAGGCTTCCGTGTTAGTCAAAATAGTGCTAAGATATGGTATGAAAGTGATGGGAATCTTCGAGAGTAAATAGAATGGATGTAGACTGTCGAAATTGTGAACTACTGAGTCAGTAATCTACTCCGGTCTCATCGACCAGACGGTAACCATGAGCAAACTGAGGCGGTGAGTGGCTATAATGATGCCATCACAGGCAGCCAAAGCTGTAATGCAGTGGGAACCAATTTTGTCCAGGATCATGATAGAGAAATCTCCTCAGACTTCTGCGGTGATTGGAGGCAGCGTGTACAAGCACATACACACACAAGGATATACACAAGACTTGAAACATGGATTTCGCTTGATGGACTCAGCACAAACCAGGATAGGCTTCATCTCAATGCTGCTGAAGAAGGTGGAGACGCAGCTAGTCTCCTGGACACAAAGTGGAAAATGGGTGGGGTAGATGTGGGCCCACACCATCATCTAGTAGAAGGAACCTTCAAAGTGAAGCTAAAATCCTTCAGAACAACTGGACACAGGCCACTGCAATTCAAATTCAACATGCAGAAAGTGAAGGACAAATATATAATGGACACTTTCACTACAGATGAGGTCAGGGCAGAGCAAAGTCGGAGACAATGCATGGAATCACTGAGGAAACCCGTGTGTGTGTGTGGGGGGAGAATATTAGAACTAACTGTGTGTCCGCAGGTAACAGAGACCCCAGAACATTGTATCATCAACGCAGTCGATGAAACCAATAAAAGGTGTTCAAGGGAACCTGATTTCCAAGGGGAGGAAACAAATAAAACAATGGATGGTTCGTTTTAACGGACTATCGAATCGATCCCCATCACCTGCAACTCGCCCAGAAATACGAGAACCACCAAAACCAGTTGTTGCAGAACTACCTGCCAGTGGACGACAGTCTTCCAATGATTGCAGAAATTAGGAATTCTACTAAGCTACTGAAGTCTAGCGGGAATGTAACGGGGCCAGAGGGAATTCCCCCGAAACACTGAAAATGGACCAAGAGACTGTGGCAGATGTGCTCACATCGTTGTTGCCAAAGTTTTGGAAGGAAGGAAAGGCGCCCAGTGATTGAAAGAAAGGGTGGTCACCTTGTCAACCTACTAAAGAAGGGAGAGTCACCCCTCTGAAAGAACTGCTGTGGTATAATGATCTTGTCCAGAGCATGTAAATTATTAAGTCGCATAATCCTAGAGAGAATAAACGATGCACTGGATACAGAACTCCTCCGGCTCCACCGGAAAAAGTTGGCTGGATTCAAGACAGGCAAATCATGTGTTGAACAAATTGCAACGCTGCTCACCGTCATCATCGAACAAAGCATAGAATGGCAGTCAAACACCTCCCTACCTCAACTTCATGGAATTCGAAAAGGCCTTCAACAGACGGCGTTGGTCGAGAAGTAATTTAGAAACTACTTCTGGACTACGGCATATAGTGCCCCAAATCTATATCGGCCTCATTCAACAGTTCGCAATATGACAATGCCAAATGTCAGGTGATCCACAATACAAAACTTAACGAGGCATTCCGAGTGAATACAAGAGTAAAACAATCTGGTTCTCTATTATCACTGATGATATTCTTAATTGTGGTTGACAGGAGTATGCGTCAAACTGTGCACATGTAGTGAAAAGACAGGAATTTGTTGGATCACCAATAAGAAGACTGTAGAAGATCCGGACTTCTCAGACGACATGTGTCTAATATCACACAAACTCGAAGGCATACAGGAAAGCGAAAACCAACAAACTGTCAGAAGAAGCAGCTAGTGGAGACAGGACTGAATGTGAACATACAGACGAAGGAGGTGATGAAGATAATCAACCAACAGAAACAACAACAACAACCAGAACCAATCACCATCAACGGGGAGAACTTAACGGAGGCTTCCCCGTTGCTTCACTTATCTAGGTAGCCAGCATTTCTTCAACTACAAAAGAACGGATGAATATGTGAAAGGAAGTCAACCAGAATTGGAAAGGCAAGATACGCCTTCATCAAACTAAAAGCAGTATGGAAATCTTCTGCACTCAATCAGCCAGCATATAGAACAAGATTCGGATTTTCAACACCAGTGTCAAGTCGGTCCTTCTATACGGGTCAGAATCTCGCACTGCGTGTCACAGAAAGGGTTTCCAACAGGCCACTACAGACTCTTACCGACAGCTGCTTTTTCCGGCTCCATACTAATGATCGAATGACCAAAACATATTAGTAGGAAGGAACTGTTCGAACAGACCAAACAAGAGCGTATCATTCAAAAATAATCAGGAAGAAATTTAGATGGATCGGGTATACGTTGAGAAGACCATTGAATGAAACCACGCACAAGGCTGTCAAGTGAAATCCAAATAAGAAACAACGAATGAATTGTCGTAGGATGAAGTGAAGGAGGTCATGAGAATAGGAGGTGAGAGTGTTTGGTCAATCATGTACCAAAATTTGAAGGACGGTAGAAAATAGAAGAAAGTGTGGATATGTTGTTGAATCCCTACGTTCCACTCGAAACCAAAGAAAATAATAATAATAATTTTGGCTGAATCGATCACTGATTTCGCTATCAAGGAGATCACATATTGTGATGTGAATAATTTGGTTTTACAGGGAATCTGTGGTGACATTCCACATCATCGAAATATACGAAGCAGAAATCGCTAACTGATTTGCAAGTTTCGAACATGAATGGAACAAAGATTTGAAATGGGAAAACATGATTACGTTTCTCATGCATGCATGCATACACAATCTCACTTTCCCATCATAGACGATTATAAAAATATGGTAGGCTAACCGTTCACAATTTGTCCAGTTCCAATGGGGATATGATTCATAGGGAAGGGTGGAGGGAATGTGGCCTTTTCTTGTCATGCAAATATTAACTAATGTTATGTTAACAACATACATCCGATTCACTTCTCCTGAGGTGAATACACGTTCTCCTAACTTTATTCATTCATCGAACATCGAATGACTTTGGCGGCCTGTTTGAACATTTTGGGCTACCATATACCATATACATTTTGCATCTATTTACTCGTATTTTATTGGTGTTTACATATCACATTATGCATTCTAATCGTATTATCCACTCCCGGGATTTTATAAAACGTTTTAAACCCAAAAACTTTCATATTTGCAATAAACTCAAGAAAAAGCACCATGGAGGTTGGCAGCGTGCCTTAAAATCTACACCCATACATCACACCACTGTTCCAGTTATCATTAGTACCAACTGCCGGTCCCTGCCTAACAAAATTCTGGATTTTCAGTCCGGAATTTACCACAATACTGGTATTGTCACTCTACAAGAAACCTGGCTCCATGACTCATATGATGACAATATTGTGTCTCTAAACAATTTTAATGTATTTCGACAAGACCGTGTTTGTTCCAAGAAAAAATGTGCGGAGGTGTTGCAACTTTTATTCACTCAAAATGGTCCATTTCTAACAAAGTTTGTTTCAAATTCTCGAATGACTACATTGATTGCATCACTGTGAGATGTCGCCCGAAACACCTGTCAAAATACAAATTCATTTATATTTCTAATGTTTATGTCTCTCCTGGCTGTACCATATTGGATTTATCTATGTTCGCTGATGAATTCACCGCTTTTGCTGCAGCTTGCTTCGAGAACTCTTTATCAATAGTAACTGGCGACTTTAATGCATGCGATCACTCCTTCCTTATATCACTTGGTCATGACAATATTATTAACTTTGCCACTCGTCTTGGTAAAACATGGATTTAGTATTTATCAATGATGTTGGTATATATGAAGCTCGCAAACGTGCTCCTTTACTTAACTCTGACCACTGCATCATACGTGTACTGCCTAAAATATATTCCAAATCACACAAAGGTGTCCTCTCTCACCTCCACAGTAAAGTTCAACGGAGATGCTACTCACAAGACAACCTAGACAAGCTCAGATGCATGTTGAAAGACACTAACTGGGACTTATTTACAGAACAAACATTAGATGAAACAATCACAAACACTACTGATTATCTTAAATTCTGTTTCGAAATATGTTGTCCTAAAGAAACATTATTCATTCGATTTGATCGCTTATCTTCGCCATATCTCAAAAAGCTACGTAGAGATAAAGAACTGTTGTTCAAAACAAATGATAAGCCTGGTGTAAAAAAGTTAAATATTCTGATAAAACTGGAAATGAAAAGACTAAATGTTTTATATAATCAAAGATTTTTGTCATGTAAAACCCCTTCTAATTTATGGAAACTTTTCAAAGAAATTACTAACGGTAAGCGATGTATTTCTGTTCCATCTCTTAATGTCGACACTCTTAATAAATCTTTCATACGCTCTTCTGTTGATACCCTTCCAAATGATACAAATCATATTGACAATAATTTTAGTGGTTTTAATACCCTTGATGTGCTTAAATGTCTCCGGTCTCTTAAGCCTTCTCAAAGCCTTGGTCCTGACGGCATACCTGCCATTGTCCTCAGGAATTGTGCTGATATTTTGTGTTATCCTCTTACTAACATTTTTAATGCTTCTTTTTCCGGTAACGTTCTACCTTTTGCATGGAAAAACATTAAAATTATCCCCATACCAAAACCATCTTCTGGTTCTGATATTAAATTTCGGCCTATTGCAATTACTTCCCCCTTTTTAAAATTGATGGAAAAATTACTTTTACTTCGTCTTGAACCCTCATTGAAACCTTTTAATGATCCTAAACAATTTGCATACAAACATGGTAGAAGTACCTTGGATGCTGCGGTTGTCTTATATCACAATGTTGTCTCTTGTTTAGACAAAGGTGCTAAATATGTTCGTAGTGCTTTCTTAGACTACACATCTGCTTTTGACTCTGTACCTAGGGGCCTTTTGTTAAATAAGCTATCGTTGACACAAACAGGATCCTGGGCAAAGAGTTGGTTGCATTCCTATTTTTCTGATAGAATGCAGTATACTGTATATAACGGCAAATCTTCTTCTACCTCGCTTACAAAATCCGGTGTTCCACAAGGTGCTGTCCTCTCTCCTTTTCTTTTTCTTTCTTCCTACATGACCTGCCTCATTCAAACGAAACTAACTTTGTCAAATATGCAGATGATCTGACTGTATCACTGCCTATCACTTCCGAGTCTGACAGCTCCAAACTTAATAGCTTTCTGTTGGACATCAACAAATGGTCCAAGTCAAATGGTCTTATATTAAATCCTTCCAAATGTCAGGCAGTTGACTTTACTTTCAAGCATCGACGTGACTTACATGAACTAGTTAGTTCGCATGATTCCTGTAGCATAGATGGCACAGAAATTGAAACCAAGTCAAGCATTAAATACCTTGGATTAGTTCTTTCCTCTGACCTTTCATGGTCATCCCACATCTTATCTATCTCTAAGAAAATGTTTCGTCTTACCTTCTACATTAAAAAGTTAAGACAATCAGGTATCAACCAACCTTTAGTTTTGCAATTTTTAAACTCCTGTATTTTACCTATTGTACTCGATTGCTCTCCATTAATCTTTCCTGGGCTTCTCAAAAAAGATTTTATCATATTACGAAGAGTATTAAATGCTGTGAGTAGGGCTTGTGGTATGCCACTGCGTGAGCTCGCCAATACTATAGTCAAGAGACACATAAATTCCTGTACAAAATGGGCAAAGGCTATACTGTCAGACCCTCTGCACCCCTTTTATTCACACCTATCCTCTTGTATCTCATCAGGTAGGACGAGAAGTCAATATAAAAAGTTATATGCTCGTACCACTAAGTACAGAAATTCTACAATACCCTATTTAGCCCGTACTTTATGTGATGAAGACTCTGTTAGACGTGAAACACATAAGTTACTATGTAATTATCACAGTGAATCGACACTTTCATCGTTCATCTTTCTGTATTTTATGGTGTCACACTTTCCATCGTTTAATTATTACTCTGCTATTTTATTTTAGTTGGTATTACCATTATTACTACAATTTTATCCTTTATGCATATTTTTCGCCGTATTTTGCTATGTAGCTGCTGTAACAATTGTTTTATTATTATTATTATGTAATGTTTATTTATAATTTTTTTTGCCGTTTTGAGTAAATTAGATGCAATCTTGTACTGAATGCTGAAAATTCCTTGCTGTATCATTGATACTGTTTTTGGAATAAAGCTATTATTATTATTAATATTAACATTACTTAAATGATAGCTGGCTTCTCCTGTCTAGTCTGCTTTTCTTCGCGTTCTTGTATTCAGTGGGGCTATTCACATAATAAATCAGTATAAGAAAGTTGGTGAAGATGGGACCAGTTATAAATGCATGTGATGAAATTGTGCTGTAACATACAATGTGTGACGATAACAATCAATAGGATTCGACCCAACCCACACCAACCCACATCATCACCAGTCAAACCATCTAAGCAATCATAATGATTTCACACAGATCCTACAACACCTTCTCACTCTGATTGACTTCCACCTAACAACAATGTGTATACTGATTATTCACACTATACCACAGTTCTCAGTAGTCTCAATACCAACCCATCGAACTCCACCACGAAAAAAATCCACAGTGAAACACAACGACCACTGAATTACCTGCAAAGTCAAATGAGTGAGCAGAGAGAGTGGAATATGACAGAGGAGTACAAATCACAAATATACGATGATTACTGTCATTCCTAAAATTATCAGTACTCATAAAACAAGATGAAGAATATTCACAAGGCAAGAAATGACATGACACCACACCATATCACACCACACCACACGAAATAACTACGTCATCCAGACAGATAAATCACCTCATCATCACTGGAAACAATAGGCTACAAGTAACTATGTGTGAAAGAGTGAAATAGTGAGTTGGCCAGATTCAAATCCAGGTCATCGCCTATTCATTATGTCTTATCATCATATGGTGGGTGATATGTGGTGTGATAAATCGTCAGATGCGAATTCCTCCACTTCTTCTTCTTCTTCACGCCTAGAATTGTAGTTGTTTTTATCGAGAGTGAGACAGACATCAGATGTGTCACGCACGTATCAGCGTTATCAGCATAATAAATTAGTGTGTATTTTGAATTTGTGTGGGAAGTGATGTTGAGTGTTGTATTGATTTCCCGGTGGTGGAGACGTATGCTTTATTTAAAGGTGTCGATATGCAGACATTATGATCTCCTATTGCACTGGTAACCAAAATGTTGTCTGATGTATTGTCTACTCAGGTGTCTCAACCAACCAACGACTAGTCTCTTAACTGAGGATGCAAGACACTTTGTCATTGCCAATCACTTTGAAACAATGTGGAATTTGAGACTGGTTCTAATGTGATAGCGTGTGAGAATAACACACCTAATAACACCCCTACTTCTGTGCAATTCCTTATTTTCTTTTCTTTATTGAAGTAAGCCCCCAGTGTGTGATGAAGAAGTACAGACTCACTGGACCAATTGTCTTTGTAGATGAAGAATGACAACACAGTTTATTGGCTACATAAGAAATCAGAAATAGTATATAAACACACTCAGTCAGTGCCTTATCAGTAAGTTATTCAAGAAAGATGAAATTCTCTCTGATACAATTCATACTATTGGCGATAGTGTACGGAACTAAGGGTAAGTGATGAATCTATTTGAACTAGTCACTGATATTCACTGACTCGGTTTTGTTACCTTGAGTGCTCTCGAAATGTAATTCATGTTGTTGACTGAGAATATCATGACGAGTAGAGTTTAGTCACAAATTCTGAATAGTTTACAGTTTGTATATGACCCAGATGCTACCATCAAGTAACAGTTAATATTCCTTTACTATCATTAATAATACTACATCACATTTCCACGTCATCAGCCCTGTGTGTCTCACTGACCTTAGCTCTCCAAGTGTGTACTCGTGTTTCGTATTTGTTCCACCTAATTTGTCTAGTTTAAAAGTTCATATTACCTGTGAACATATAAAGGAATACTTTGATTGGACACTGGTAACTAGTCTTATGCGTCTAGTCCTTCCCTTGGTGTACACTGAATTCTACCAGTCAGTCAGGTTTTGCAATATGGCCACCATTCTAGGTAGATCGCTCGCCATCACGGTGCACATTCATTTGGTGATATTAGGTGGTTGGAGGCAACCGGCCACAGGTAGCCCAGCTGGATCTAGGTTTCGTGCTAGCTGACACTCACCAGTCAGCAAGGCGTATCTGCAACTACCTTGAAGGAATTCATGTCCCTTCTGAGATAAGTGCCAACTATCACGAAACCTAGGTCAGAGGTGGGGCTTCCTGTGGCCGATTGCCTCCAACCATCTAATGTCATATAAAGGAATACTCTTAGTTACATATGTTGTGATACAGAGAATGTGTGCCGACGGAATGTTATTCTCATGTATACTCATGGTTCATTTCCCCATTGTGAACAGAATACGATATCTATAAAAAACAAAATAATTCAGCGAAGAATATCCTTTTCGATCATTTCTTCCTCCTATGGCTCTGCAGTTACATATGTGCTCATATACATAGAATATTCTAGAATGGTAGTCGATAACAATATTAGTGTTTTTTAAACAATATCAATTTGTAAAGTGAAATCACGATGGAATTACAGTTCACTAAGGATGCTTAAATGATAATAATAATAAAAATATAATAATACTTAGTAAACGAACTCTTAAGGCGAAATTAAGATTTAGCGGTATGCAGTAAATGACTTTGAAAGACGCCTCGTTGACATCAATCTTGTGTTGTGTATCCACAAGCTGAGATTGAGTAGC